GTTCCCCCCCCCCCCCCGCCCGCGTGCAAGAGCTACGGTAGCTGGCGACGGCAAAAACTCGTGTCATGTGCAGGCACGAGACGCGGAAATGCCACTGAATACGTAGCGCTCCGAGAGGGGTGTTCTGTTCGTGAACACGAGTGTGCGAGGAACCGCCCGTTCCTTCTTTGATGACGTGTGCTACGTGTCGTATGCCACGCAAAAAGGTGACAACGTACACTAACATCGACACCTTCCGGAGGCAGCTCAAGATGCTTGGGTTCAGCTACGACTGGGACAGGGAACTGGCGACCACGGGTACGCGCATTGGACACCGTTGTGCAGGGTTTTGCTTTTCCATGCAGCCTGGGTTTCGAACCCGCGACTAACTCTTTGAAACCAAACCGTTAGACTAGTCTATCGAATGGTTTGATTTCGGCTTCTGAAGATCCCGGCGTCCGGTTGGATGCAGCTATTGTATACCCCCCTTTTTTTCAGTCGTGGGTGCTTTCGAGTCCGAACGATCGGTACGACGGCGCCTTTCGCGGTCGTGGTACTCTTGTGGGTTCAATCGAGCAGCGTAGCCCGCGTTTCCCGAGAGCTTCTTGTTGATGCACACAACAGTTGAACTTGGGATCGTTCACACCGAGAGCTCTCAAGGGAACGTACTTTGCTAGAACATGGAAAAGCCCTTCTGACGCTCCTTGTCGATGAACATGCACGAGTGTCCTAGATGGATGCCTGTCCCACGACGCATCCCACCGAACTTTTTCTTCGGATAGTTCACATCGCTGCAGAGCCGTACTCGCCATCGGCTGTCTCGAGAGACTGGACGTTTCGCATGCATGGAGGAGTAGTACGTGGTATTTTGTGGAGCGCTGCCGGGCTTGCTTTGTCGTATTTTGATTCGAAGATTTTAATTACCCCGGGATCCATCTCTGCACGGATACTCCTTCGAAGGTTGTGCGCTGTGGCTGTATATTGACTGTCAAGCACTAAATATGGCTTAACTTCGCCGCTCCCAGACACGGACTACGTTAAGTGGACGCAGTGGATATTTCTGGAGCTGTTTAAGGCGGGACTGGCAGAGCAGAGCGAGGCCCGCGTTAACTGGTGCCCTGCGCTGGGGACCGTGCTCGCCAATGAGGAGGTTTGCCTGAGGTTGACGGTGGTTTCACATCGCCCTGTTTTTGTGCACGCTAGGGTTGCACGATTTGTCGTTGGTACTGAAGTGCCGCTCAAGCGTTTGAGGGCGGCCCTGGTGTCGGCAGTAGGTGTCAATGGATGTCCATCACAGTTCAGATGCTGCCAATGGCCTGAGTACGGCAAGCAACAGGTTTGCACTCACGTCCTGTCGTCGCCCCTGCTGTTACCCTTGGTAGCGTCTTGTTGCACACGTCGTCCGTGCTATTTCAAGCTCTGGTTGCCCACTCGACGGCAGCCGAAATTTTCCCGTGCTCATTTTCTACGTTATAAATATTTGATGCACAATGCTTGTGATTGTCAACGGCGAATCCACCCCCGTCCTTCCAGCAATCGCTTGTGAATTTTCCGTTGACAATCATACAACATTGCGCATCAAATGTTTGTACGGTAGAAATGTAGCCTGGGCCGGCAAGAACCCGTCATGTCGCTCCGTCCGGGATGCGAGGTCAATGGCCTAACGACTACGGCATGAGTACTCCCCCCCTCCCCCCCTTCCTCCTTCCGTCTCTTTTTCCGTTTCAAACGTACTCGGCTCACAATATTACCATTGCATTATGTGTCCATGACTAG